TCTGTTTGGATCTCTGTGAGCAAAACACGTGTTCATTTTGGGACTACAGTTGCTACAAGGACATGGTGTGAGAGGGGATACAGTACCTCAAAACACAGTTATGAAGGGGAGGATATAGCTGCTCCACATCAAGCTTTGAGCTTAAAAACCAACAGCAACAACCATTGTAATAAAAACAACATGAAGGTGCAGCTTTGTTTTATTCTCATTAGAAGCAGCATTGTACCCCTACATAGTTTTTTAAGGTTCACTTGCAGTGTGGATGCTTAGTATTTAGTCATTAATGTTGAATATTTGTCTTTGGTTTGAAAGGCAAAGGTCAAGGGCAAATGGATGTGCAGTTTGTGGATCAGTTTGGCTTTCACACAGTTACCTGCTGTGGCTATCTTCCCCAGGTAGGTTGTACTTCATCACACTGGTGGAGTTCTAAGTTCATCTTCTTTTGCCTTTGGTGACACAAGGGGTCAAAATTACCTTAATATAAATAAACGAATGTTTGTGGAGCCATGAAAAGAGCATGATTCAGCCTGCTAAGGAAAGTAGTGCTTTGAACAGCACTTACAGCTGCATTGGACAATCACAGCTCTTCAGTTTCTTGGGTTTTAATCATGGAGAGAAAATTCTTGATTCTCCTAGTTAATGTTTTGAGATAACATTCAATGAAATAGCAGCATTTACTGCCCTGGTTGGTACCAGCACAAGGGCTGTGTAACCCTCAAAAGCTTTGTTTGAAAAAGAAGGAAATGTGCCTTTTGTGTGGTGTAGAACTAAGACCTGCAGTGCTGTTCTTCAGGTGAATGACTGGCAGAAGGACTGGGTGACCTTCTTTGCCAGACAAAGAATCCAGCCCCAGATGGACATGATTGAGAAGAATTCAGGAGACAGAGAAGCAAGAGAACTTTGGGCAAAACTTCAGGTAGGAGCAATTCTCCCAGATCTCATTATAGTGAAAGATGGGTATCAGTTATTGATATTCTAATTCCTTGAAGTTCCTGTTTGTTGCTGTGCTCCAGGTTCTGTTGCTAAGGGACTCCAGTTTTTAGGCATTAAAATGCCCTTTATTCTGAAGTGTACTGGCTTTTGCTGCATCGCCCTGTGTTGATATTCCAAAGAGAATACCAGAGGGAGCACTCTGCCTTACTGTTTGGGACATACTAGATGGAGCTGACATTTCTCACACCCTATAGCACGTTCCTGGTGAGCAGTGTGCACAAGCAGAGCTGTTCTGCACCAATGAATCCATGTCTGATAAGTGGCTGCAGTATTAGCTCTTTGAAATCTCCTCCAGGCTGGTGAGAGACCGCTGAGCTTTCTGATGATGAACTGGTGGTGGTTGTTGTTAAACCTGGTCAATATGGCAGCAACAATTCATGTTAAATGTTTTGTTTTCTTGGTAAAACAAATTTGGATGACTATTCTTTGCTGGCTTTTATGAAAAACAGGAATCCCTTCGATTTGCTTAGCATCTCTTTTGGCTAGGTCCTGTACTGTCTCAAGTTACGGGTTTATTTAGCTGACTTTTAAGAAGTTTCAAGCACACAGATAAAACTCTGCAATCATTCACCTTAAAATGTGGCATTTACTTGTCTTTTCCCCCATGCAGCTGAAGATACCCAGTTTGTTCTCTGATGTGGAAATTGTTCCTGCTCTCCTGCACGGAGATCTCTGGGGAGGAAACGTGGCTGAGGATGATTCTGGTCCAATCATCTTCGATCCAGCGTCTTTCTACGGCCACTCAGAGTATGAGCTTGCAATAGCTGGGATGTTTGGTGGCTTCAGCAGTGCTTTTTATTCTGCTTATCACAGTAAAATCCCCAAAGCCGCAGGGTTTGAGAAGCGCCTAAAGCTTTACCAGCTGTTTCACTACATGAACCACTGGAACCATTTCGGTTCAGGGTACAGAGGGTCTTCTTTAAACATTATGAGAGACCTTGTAAAGTGATTTTTTGCTTAGGCCAAATGCTTCCTGTGTTGCTTGGAAACTCCCAAATTTGGTGCAGCTATAGGAATAGTGATGTTAAAAAAACCTTTGAGACCCTTAACCTTGTGCTCGCCTAGAGTCAGTGAGTCCTGAAAAATACCAGGTGTAACATAGTTATCCCTTAGGATAGCTGGGAATGACTTTATGAGCGAAATATCCAAGGAAGGGGATTATTCATTTGCACAGTGAATTAAGGTCTCAGTGTCGAGAAAGCATTGTGTGCTGGAGCCTGTGCAAGGTAATAATACCAATAAACACTGCGGAAATAGTGAAAAGAGGTTCCTAATTGCTTTTTGCTGTGTCTTCCCCTTTTTGGGATAGATTGCTCAGAGCCTTTCACCTCTTAATGTCCACTTACGTGCATGAGAGTAATGTTAACAACTTGTTTTGATAGTCAACAAGAAAACCACATAACAGGAGGTGTGAGAAGGGATTCGGACTTTGTGTTCATCATCACAGAGTGGGGAAGGTTGGAAGGGATCACTGGATGTTACCTAGTCCAACCTCCCTGCTTGAGCAGGGTCCCATAGAACTGGTTACAGAGGCTTCTGGACACCTCCAGTGCTTTGCTAATGTGATTCTGCTGAATGGAGACTGTTCTGCCATAAGGTGGTGTGAAAGTTTGGTGCCTCCAAGCATTCTTGTAGGCTGTTCTGTGCTTTCTGGTCAGTGAGCTTTTATCCACAGCAATTTTGTGTTCATCAGACCTAGCTGTCTCTTCTGTTTTTGGGTTGTGCTTTTGTCCAGTCGTGTGCATTCTCAGAGATCTTTTCAAGTGAGGGGCTTTGCATGCACACGTCCTGTGAAGGTGCATCCATATGTGAATACACACGTGAAGGTGTATTCTCTCACCACTGCAAACAAGATGTGCTCTTGACTGTTGTCACTGCCCACAGAGCAATGACATGTGCCTGTGGCACAGGCTTCACATACACTTTCTGTACCTTTAGACCTACAGTTGGCGTAAACTAACCTTTTTCTTCAGTCCCTGTGGAGAAACCCTAAAAGATAAAACTGAGTAAGGAGAATTGTCTATGTTGACAGTAGTTCACCAGAACCACACTAGATGGATGAGGACCAGGGACACAGCTTAGTGTGCTGCCCCAAAAGAGGGATGAAGCAAAGGACAGAGCAGCCCAGAGGTGTTGTGGTCATGCTCTGTTGAACACAATGCAGCTAGGAGGAGCTAAGCCAAAGGAACGGCCCAACCAGTGACCTAAGACTGAACTTGGTTCAGTGACTTGAAAATACATATCACCTTCAATGCCCCTGCATGTGCTGTTGGAGTAAAACCTGTACATGCTTTGCATGTATGACTGAAGTCACACTCCACCTAGTCATGAACTGGCATCAAGTGAAACTTTGTCTTTTCCTCACCCTAAAAGAGCACAATATAACTAACAAATTAAGAGGGGAGGGAGGTCAGACTTTGTATCCTGGGATGGCTGAGAGGCTGTACCCTCAGCTCCCCCTTAGGGACATCTACCAGGTAACCTTTATTCAATGGGGATACTACTGCTTGTGCTTTCAGACATCAGTGTGTTTGTCAGTGATAGTTTATGGACCTTACTGTCTCACAACACTCAGTAAACCACATCATCTGTGAGTCTGGAATCTGAGTGTGACCAAGGTGCACTGCTTGTGCCTCTGGGAGTGTGGCCAGTGTCAATGCTGCACTGTTTGTGTGTCTGCGGTGGTGAGAGTTCTGGTGCAGACTGAGAGTGCTGCACTGATTGCTGTGAAATATTGCCAGGGGAAATATTGGCAGTCCTGCAGACTAGCTGCTGCTTGTGCCTGCAAGATGTTACCACTCAAATTGTGCTCTTTTTGGTGTAGGCTGTGATGGTACTTCTGTGCAAGCACACCAGATAGGTGAGAGAGATGCCTGAATCCTAATGTGCATTTGGAGTGTTGGGGAATGACTTTAATTAACTAAAACTGTCTCACTGCATATTGGCAGATGGCTGAGAGCTTTTAGTTGCTGGTTTTGCAGTTGTTCATACAAATTTGAAGCAAGCTTAGAGAAGACTTGTCACTTGATACAACATTCTCTCCTTAAT